ATACACACACACACACACAGACACACACAGACACATACACACACACACACAGAGACACATATAAAAATGAGACAGCTTCTAGAGGCAATTGTCAGGCCTAAGGCCGACTCAGAGAAAAAGCACTCAAATGTAGGATACAGACGGAGGCACTGGTAAACGTTTAGTAACCAAATTTATTTAGAGAAACAAATGAATGTACAAGACAAGTAAACCGTGAACTGTGGGAATGAACATAAACTATAAATAATGCAAAACTGTGAAGTACATATGCAACCTGAGCTATGAAAGCAATCAGAGAAACTTGAACAGTGAAAATGACACTTCTATGACTTTGTGGCCAAAAAGGGTGTAGACATACTGGATGGCTGGTTCATGGGGATTCCCTGATATGGAAATAAGATAAGTTCAGGTATTGTTCCAGGAAAATGCTGGCTGACTGTGGTTTAGAGTGTTCCTTTGATGCTTACTTGCTGCAGGTGGAGGAGTAGCATGGAGGGGAGAATTGTCCGAGTGAGTGGGGAGGAATCCAGAACTCCAGAAGCTGAGGCAGGGAGGCAGGTGGGTGCATAGGGCGAGCAAAGCCATGGCTGAGAAAACTGTCTAGAAGTCCTGCCTCTGAATGAAGCTTTTCTGGGGAAGGTTTGCATCTGGAGAGTTACTATAAATGAGTATCACAAGGTGAGACAATGCAATTCACTTAAGCGGTTCACAAATACTATTGTGGCCTACAATAACTTTGGTTAGCTGAGACTCTGGTGAAGAGGAGTGGAGAGTGCTGTTATTATATGTCAACAGATTAAATGAATGGCCCCTCCCAGAGGTGGAACTGCTGACTCTGTGGAAAACACCGAAACTCACCCGGATCATGACGGCAACAAGACAACAAGCATCAGCGCCATGTTACGCTAACTGTTAGTAGTTCAACGATCGAGTGAAGATCCACCACTCTGGTTAGTAGTGGCTTCATTAAAGCATAAGGAACAGGTAAGTGATCATCAGCTGGTGCATAGAGTAAAAAAAAAGGTGGGGAAACAAAAATATCTTAGAGAAAAGAAAAGGTTTGCCTGTTTTAAACTTTCTTCTGTTATTAAAAGGATTCATAGAATCATGATTAAATATTTATGATTAAATTAGCAAAAAAGAAGATCATCAAGGGTCCTAAAGACTGAACGACAGCTTGAGATACAAAGAGAGTCCACCTTTGTGTGTTAATGCGT